CCCTCCACTTCTTCCAGTCATTCGCAAGACTGGCCCCGGTCTTAGAATTAAATTCTAACTTCGAAGGTGGAGGGAGACGTTGCAGAGCCATAGCTACAGTACTTGCCACACAGTCTACTGTAGTCCTTTGTTCAGGAATCACGAGGCTGTCCGAGTTGGAGCACTCCGGAATTTCACGTGAATTCGTACGGAACTCTTACAGTTCAAGCTTCCCACTGTGACTGTTCACAGTTCAGGCACTTCTGACACCATGTTCAAATCTTTAGTTGATGAGGAGTGTAATTATGCAGAGACATAATAGCAGATAAGAGTGAGAATGAAACTAACTGTAAACTCCATTTATTACCAACGCCCGAGAGATGTTCTATTGTATCCATATAACGGATCCTCTAACTTAGCCAGAGTCAACGCTACGCATGAGCGCTATATATTGTTACAGCTTTGCGAAAACGAAGGGCTGAAAGTCAGGGTACGGTGGTACAATGCAGGGTACGCAGCGACATATCGTATAGGACCCTGAGGTACTTTCCGATATATCGAACCGTACCCAGGGTACCCTCCAATAGTACCCGGGGGGACATAGACCCTATCAGCATCACTGACGGTTCTCATCTTTTGCAGACAAAAGGACTTCATCTACTATAAAAGTAGTACCTCACCACTTTTCCTATTTCCACCTGCTCTATATGTCAGGCTATCGCAAAATGTCAAGCGATTTCTGTTCTTGGAACTTCCCTTCTACAGCGAGGAACAGGCATACCAGGTGGCCACAACAGGAAAAGTACATGCGTCTTGATCGTTGATGAAACTGTTTATTCCTTTTAGGAATGAAGCCTACTTGTACTACAAGAAGAGCACACCACCTCTCTTTCTCTTTCCGCCATCTATCTATGTCATCTTCCCCAAATTCATCAAACTGGTTCTCTGTGTGGAGCTGCCTCTATACAACTACCTCGATCCGCGACCAAATGAGGAAACACCCATACAACCTTGAGTGTTTTAATTTGGCTTCACACAAACAGGCCAGTTTATGTGTGTAGAATATCCAACTTGTAAAACGGGTACACTTAAAGGAAAACATCACTGTATAATTAGTTTACATGCGTATTTTCAGTTAGAGTAGGTTAACATTGTGCCAAATAAAAATAGTGGTTTAATGTGCACTAAAAACGTTAATATAACTGCTTTAAACTGTCCTAGATCACGTATTTAGCACTGATGGCATGACTGTGTGATGCTCAGAAAAGGTTGCACATGTCCAGTTTATGCCCCATGCAACACACAGTGAGCATCTCTTATTAATTAATTGATGAGAAGGATTGTCATATCTTCCTTTGTACTAATTGCTTCGTTTAGCCTATGATTGTAATTATCTTAAAGGACAATTGAAGTCAAATTTCATAACTTCTGTAAGGTTTTTATACATAGAAATACATTCAATAACGTATTCAATTTCATATCTGGCGCCCAATTAGTAATAAACACAATAGAAATAACTGAATAGTAATCTA